CATCATGCTTCTGCTCCCTCACACCTCCCTCCTCCCTCCATGCTTCCCCAGAGCCCTGGCGTCACGTTTTTGTCACAACGTCGACCCCCAGAGGTCTCGACCCATCCCCCCGGACAGGCTTTTGATCCTGAGTTGTTTTCGACGGTCCTGGGGCCCAGCGATGGCTTCCAGAGGCCAGAAACAGCAGAACACCTCCTGTCCTGATTGTGGCATGAGGCGCTGGGCTCTGGGTCCGTTCTCCTCCCTCCCCGCCTTCCCTTCCGCCTCCCCACTCCTCTTTCCTCCCTCCAGAGGGGACCACGGGCGGGGGGGAGGGCCGGAAAAGGCGGGAGGGCCAAGGGGAATTGGGAGGGGGAGGAGGAGCAATGAGCGGAGAGGGGAGAGAGAGAGGAAAGGAGGAGGAGGAGAAGGAGGAGGAGGAGGAGGAGGAGGAGGAGCGGGCCAAGAACGTGACAATGTGGGCGGTCCCTGTCGCCTTCCTTCGCCCGAGCGCGGACGGGCGGGGGCCGCGGTCGCGGCGGAGAGACGGGCAAGTTATCTCAATGGTCACTCGGGAGGAGGGAGGAAGGGGAACAGGAGGAGGGGTGAATAACAAAACGAGAAGGCGATTGGACCACTGGGAGTAACCCGCACCTCTCGCCCTGGCGGCCTCCGGCTCCTTCCAAGTGCCCTCCGCTCGAGAAGCTCACCTGCCAGGTCTTCTGTTCTTCTCGCCATGCTCGGCCTTCCCCGCAGCGGTGCCCGCGGTGGGCACACTTGTCCTTGAGGATCTCCGCTAGGACACAGGAGAAGGGCGTCCACCTCTTCATGTTCCTTTCTGCTGTCTAGTATGCTCACACCGAGCTGTGTTATCATGGCACTCCGTTCGTACTGCATTATGTCTACGCGCCACGCACTGCACTCCAAGGAGCTCGTCGCTGGAGAGGAACTCCGTGTTCTCGACCGCGCTGGGGCAGAAACCCTCGATTCACCCACTTCTCGAGCTTCGCCGAGAAGTGGCGGTGCCCCGCTATTTTCACGAGAGGGCCCGAGACCTCGTTCTGGTACTTGTCTTCGATCTCGTCGAGGCGGGCCTTGATATTTTCCATGACCCCTGACTCCAGGCTCTCCTTGGAGGTGGTGTTTTCCTTGTCGACACCATTTAATGGGGCTCCTCTTGTCTCCGTGGAGATGGTTTTCTCGATCGGGTCCTGCATTGGGAACCCAGGCCACCCTTGGGGGCGCGAAGACAACCGCGCCTCGTTCGTCGCGGTCTGGGCCAGAGCGGCTGCCATTCTCCAAGGGGGCGGCGCGAGGGCGCGAAGGTGATCGCGCGTCGCCCATCGTGGAGCGCGATGCGCGAACTTAGGTGACCTACAGGGGAGACCCATGCCACGAAACACCCTGCTTGCCTCCAGGGTGCCCTGAGTTTCTTGGGTTTCAATGGTTTTGCTTTGGAAGGCGCGACGGTCCCACACCAAAAATCAATGGACGTCCTGTGGTCTCAGGGCTGGGTTTCTTGTGGAGGTGACCTAGGCTCCCCCTCTCATTGGGGATGGTGTTCTCGATCTGGCCCTTCGGCGGGAACGGCGGTATTTCCGGGAGAACTTCCACGTGCTCTGTCTGCCTGCTTGTGTGCTGGGCGTCGCCGCTGCCCTTGAGTTGTTCCCGCGTCATCTGCGCGCGCGCTCGTCCCCAAGCTGCTGGTTGTTGAGCTCCGTCGTCTTCGCTGTGGCGGGACGTGTGGTCTGGCTACGCGGCTTCTGCACACGACGGCTCTCCTGCTCGCTAGTCGTCCCCTGGATATCCGCCTGCACCCTGTCAAGGGTGGTGCTAGTCTCCTTGGCTTGCAGGTCCTCGACCTTCGGAGGATGCCGAGTCCACACGGAGTGAGTCCATACGAAGTGCTCGGTCTCCGTATGGACCTACTCCGTCTGGACTTAGCCTCTCCTGGGACCTCGGACTCCAGCCTGTCGTCCACTTCGAGGCTCCCGGTTCGCCTCGCTTGAGGTCAAAATGGAAGCCTTTGCTCTCGGCGTGCCCTTCCCGCAGCGCCTGCCATAGCTCAGGCTCTTGCACCACGGTTCTTGCTGTACGGTCGGCCCGAGGTACAAGATCGAGGTCGGCTCGGGGAGGGTACCCTAATATACCCTAATGTTCTTCGTGTTTGTTGGATGTTTTTGTGCATCCTGGGGGAGGGTACCCTCGAGTATTCTTCAGTTTGGCCGACGGGCTGTCTCGTGGTCTTGGAGGTTCTTCTGTCCCAGGTCGGCTGTACCTGATGCACCTTGCTCTGGCCGAGGGCGAGCTCGCGAACCAAGTTGACAGGCCGAATCCGTGGTCGCGTAGGAACCCTCCATCCAGAGCTTTGACGGCGTTCGCAGCGTGGACCCCAGGGGCCTGGCCCCCTCCCTGGTCGGGCGTCGGGTAATGGGGGTGCGACAGATGGCGGGGGGTTCAGAGAGGTGCACCTCTTGTGCCCTGAAGGGGCCCCCTGGGGCCCAAAAGGGGCGCGAAAGGTGCGCGTTTCTTCCCCCCCCCCCCCCATTCACCGCATCCCAGGACCACCATGAATTCACGCCCGATTTGGGGCCGATTTTCCCTTCCGAGTCGTCTTTTTGGACGGGCCCTGGGCCTGGCGAGGGCCGCCTGGGACCGAACGCGTCATGAAGCCTCGGGTTGCGACTGCTTCACGGCGAGAAGATCGGTATCACCCAAGCGTGCTGACACTACAGTGGGGGCGCGTGCCAAGAAAACAGTTGGATTTTGCCAGGGTGCCCTGGGTTTCTTAGATTTCGATGGGCTTCCAATCTGATCTTGACGATCCTCGATCGACACATGTGGACTTTCACTGAACAAATCGCGGATCTCAGGGTTGGGTTTTTTGCGGAGGTTTCTTGTGGCCGAGTCCCCATTGTAAGTGACCTTTTCCTTATTAGTTGTTTTGCCGATCGGCGCGGGCCCTCGCCCCCCCCCCGCCCCGTGGAGTAGATCTTGGCTGTTTGGGGCGCCGTTTCGAGCATCTGGAGTCTCCATGGGGCGCACTTCTGCGAGCCGTCGCATTGAGGTCCAGAGCC